AAGAGTGTGTACGCGCAGAATTTGTCAACAAAAGTTAATACTTATTAACAGTTTAACTTGGAAATTCTCCAGAGAATAGGAAAGAGGAAGAGAGAGAAGAAGAAGACGAGATAGTGTCTGTTCGTCGCGAGCAAAGACGAAAATCCTCAATGCCTGCCGGTGGACACGACTTTCTCGTCACCGGGTAGACGGCGCGTAATTAATTCGACGGGTTAGTTCAGGCACACGCCTTGTACGTGTACATATACAAGAGTAACCGGAGACGAACAGAAGCATCTGGCTTTGAATAAGGCGGGAACGATACGGTAGATTGAAATCCAACCGACTGATCCATCTCTCCATTATGTTTGTTGTTGTCGGATCGAATTTGAGGGAAATGTTTACCGCGAGGACTAGAATTACCGTAATCCTCTTCCGCTATAGTGCGTTATTGCTGGAGATATTGTTGAATAACGAAATAAAATTAGGAAAATATTCTTGATCAAAAACACGATTTAAATTCTCCATAATAAGAGCCACGCCCGATAAGAAGTGCGAAAGTTTTAAAGAAAATACTTTTTATTAAACAACTCTGCTTTCCCCCCACACATACAAATTTTTTATTTTTACCAGAATATAAAAGAAGAGAAGACAAAAGTCTCTCCAAGCATTTTGGAGTTCTTCAAAAAGGGAAAAAAGTTTCTTAAAGACTGAAGGATTTAAAAAATGTGAAGTTTGCAAGCTCTACGAACTAAAGATCAAAGAGTACAAACTTCGCGATGTTACAAATACGAAGATTCTAAAGTTGAGGGAGAAAAAATTGATTAAGTAATTCGAGATCAATGTGCCAATACAACTCCGGATGAATATTTTCATGCCGAATAATTCTCGGGTCTCGAAATTAAGGAACATAGCGCGAACATATCGGATTAATATTCATCGTGGATCTCGCGGGTCACTTTCCTCGAATTTTCCCGTACATCTAATTTTCTCCGACCGGCGCGTATATACACGTCCCAGATGAGATCACGTTCAAAAAGGAGTTTGTTAACCCCATGCTCAAACGGCGGGATCCGAATTAGATCTCGCCTGGACTGCATATCCACCGGCGAACATTCGGAGCGACATTAATGTAACCGACATTGTCGTAGCTATCAGCGAGAGATAAAATGGAAGAGAAAGATTGAGAAAAGTTTAATTTTATTTACAGGAAGAAATAATTTTATATATGTCTTTATATTAAATTAAATTATTTGAAATTCCAAGAAAGAGTGTGTACGCGCAGAATTTGTCAACAAAAGTTAATACTTATTAACAGTTTAACTTGGAAATTCTCCAGAGAATAGGAAAGAGGAAGAGAGAGAAGAAGAAGACGAGATAGTGTCTGTTCGTCGCGAGCAAAGACGAAAATCCTCAATGCCTGCCGGTGGACACGACTTTCTCGTCACCGGGTAGACGGCGCGTAATTAATTCGACGGGTTAGTTCAGGCACACGCCTTGTACGTGTACATATACAAGAGTAACCGGAGACGAACAGAAGCATCTGGCTTTGAATAAGGCGGGAACGATACGGTAGATTGAAATCCAACCGACTGATCCATCTCTCCATTATGTTTGTTGTTGTCGGATCGAATTTGAGGGAAATGTTTACCGCGAGGACTAGAATTACCGTAATCCTCTTCCGCTATAGTGCGTTATTGCTGGAGATATTGTTGAATAACGAAATAAAATTAGGAAAATATTCTTGATCAAAAACACGATTTAAATTCTCCATAATAAGAGCCACGCCCGATAAGAAGTGCGAAAGTTTTAAAGAAAATACTTTTTATTAAACAACTCTGCTTTCCCCCCACACATACAAATTTTTTATTTTTACCAGAATATAAAAGAAGAGAAGACAAAAGTCTCTCCAAGCATTTTGGAGTTCTTCAAAAAGGGAAAAAAGTTTCTTAAAGACTGAAGGATTTAAAAAATGTGAAGTTTGCAAGCTCTACGAACTAAAGATCAAAGAGTACAAACTTCGCGATGTTACAAATACGAAGATTCTAAAGTTGAGGGAGAAAAAATTGATTAAGTAATTCGAGATCAATGTGCCAATACAACTCCGGATGAATATTTTCATGCCGAATAATTCTCGGGTCTCGAAATTAAGGAACATAGCGCGAACATATCGGATTAATATTCATCGTGGATCTCGCGGGTCACTTTCCTCGAATTTTCCCGTACATCTAATTTTCTCCGACCGGCGCGTATATACACGTCCCAGATGAGATCACGTTCAAAAAGGAGTTTGTTAACCCCATGCTCAAACGGCGGGATCCGAATTAGATCTCGCCTGGACTGCATATCCACCGGCGAACATTCGGAGCGACATTAATGTAACCGACATTGTCGTAGCTATCAGCGAGAGATAAAATGGAAGAGAAAGATTGAGAAAAGTTTAATTTTATTTACAGGAAGAAATAATTTTATATATGTCTTTATATTAAATTAAATTATTTGAAATTCCAAGATTTTATTAGCGCTATTGTTATAAAATTTAAGTCATTTTTTTTCTCAGTCGATATAATAGTTCGTCAGTTTGTATTTTTATATATTAGAATATTTTATATATACATATATATATTCTCCTATAAAAATATAATACATTGTATAGCTAATAAGTAAAGATAATATTATATGCAATTGATGGAAAAATATGGTATTTTGACGTTCCCGGTAATCTACGTTACTGCCAGCCACAATTCCAAACGGATACAATGGTAGGGTTTGCTCTCGAAATAACGATAAACATTCCGTAATTTAATTAGCAATTACAAAATGTTTGTTACAACGCGCTCAACGCGATGGCACAAACGATTATCGTACGTGCTGGTGTACTTCGCTCGAATAACTTGTCCTACGTGGTCTGCCGTTGATTGATCGTATTACACAGCGGACCCGATTACAGAATAACGCGTTAGCCTGCGGTGTACGAGTTTAATGTCGATAAAATTCTCGGCGTTTTAACTAAAATCTGGTCACATTCGATAAATCGATACTCAGCGATAAAGAAAATATGTATCAAAAATTTAAGAAAGAGAAAAGTTTATATCTAGAATTTTCATATCTAAGTTACGTTCTCGTTGCTGTAACATTCGTTTATTCTGTCATTTTCCATTTTTATTCTGTCATTTTTCTATTATCCGAATTTTTTCTTACTGCTTTTTACATTTTTTACAAATTTAGGAAATATAAAATTTAATTTACTATTTTCATAGATTTATTTATTATTATTTTTTTTTTATTTAATACGATAACACTTTAGTCTAGAGTTTTAAGCAAGTTCCCGCGCCTACTTTATACTAACGATCTAATTTCACGCAGGTTCAGGTTCCGGTTCTGGTTCCGGAAGCAGCGGCTGTGCCTCCAGCACCCTCGGCACCCTACCGTTGAACCGTTGCTACTCGTCTTTGCCCAGAGGCGCATTGGCGGCCTATGGCAGTCTCACAAGACCCGCTACCCTGCCGCGTCTTCCTTTGGGTCTTGGCCTAGGCCCGGCACCCGGTACTGGTAACGGGCCGCTACCGCAAAACGATCGGGATCGAGACAGCAATGGTAGCAGCAAACGTAATAGCGACAGCGTGCTCTGCCATCGGCTACCCCTGTTACACCCTCTGCCTACTTGCGACGTTAGCAGCCACCAGGGTACCGGCTTTCACGAGATATTCAACGCTATCAGGTAAATCGTTTCAATGATGACATATGTATGTGACTCTTATATTTTCTCTTTTAAATTATTATATATTTGCATAGAAAGATTATGTAGTATTAATGCAAAAACATAGCGATCAATACTTGTAGATTAAATTAAATTCTTTGCAAAATATATTTTTTAATCTTCGAATATTTTTAATTATGATGCAAAATATAATTATATCGTCAACATATATTATAATTATTTTCCTATAATTTTAGTTAACTATCGTCATTTTTCTCAACTATATAGAATATTTCTTGTATTTATTTTTTACCGTTTTTATATTTTTTTAATTAGAGAAGGTTCCGTTTGTAACTGACGTTATTTATTATTTATATGAACATATGCAAAGTTATACACATAGTTAATTGTTTAGAGAGAGGGAAGATTTATAATCATCGCAAAATATTAATGTTGCGTAAATCACGATCGATCTTTGCTGATCATGTGCGTCAATGGTCCAACATGAAAACTCAATAATTTCGTGTTACGGTGACGTTAAACGCGATGATATTAATAATTATGTACGACATTTCGTTATCGATTTAATCGCATTTGCCATTAACATCATAATTACGTTTTATGATCGACATGAATTGCATTGAGATGGATCGAGTGATCGGTCTTGATGCGTATAGATATTTTTACGCATAAATTATTATAATATCATTCCATCGTATGGAATATGCCCCCGGCATCGTAATCCGTATAAATAAAATATTCAATGGAAAGTACCGTGTCAACGCTGATAGGACATTACATTTGAAATAATAATCGCGCATCTCGTAAAGCGCATAAATTCACGAAAGTTGTCTGATTGATAATTTCAGTAAAAAAGTTTTTACTAAAGTTTTGGAAGAAAATCTCCAAAGAGGGAAAAAAAAACAAATTCTAAAAGAAAGAGAACGACATCTCTCTTAAGAGGAGAAATTTTAGGAAGAAAAATGATCTCGCTATTGAATTCGTTTCTTTCGCAAGCTCTTTTGCATACAAAGAAATTATTACATTCGCGACCTTGAAGTAAGCTTCGCAAATGACCGAACAACTTGTCTCTTCTGATTACCTTCTCTACGAAGAGGGACTTTTCGTGAACGAGGATTCGCGCGGCCTAAGTATTTCCGCGAAAGATATCTCCGAACTTTCTCGGATTGCCTTCTTCTCGAACGGCCTGTTATGGAAATTAGAGGGGACGAGCGGGAATATTTCGTCGGCGAAATTACACGCGAACTTTGCGGGCGGCGTCGACGGAAACTTTCGGCCGGAAGCTGCTGGATCTCCTCGATTACGGCAACAGCCTTCTCTCCGCCGCAAGGTCGCGGAGGAGTCGCGCGAAACTTCCCCTATCGCTATTCTCAATCCGACAACGAAGAAACGAGATGCATTCGCTCGGCACTTCGGCCGAGCATTAGATACCGTTCCGAAAGTTGGGTCTCGGACTAGGGAAACTTGTCGGAAAGTTCAACGGGCCGTCCGCTCATCCAGCCGCGAGAAGCCCGATATTTCGCATAATTACTGGCGGTGCTTGCCCGAAGCTGTATGAGATTTGCGCGAATAATTTGCGGAATTATTCGGGCATGAGCCTCAAATATTGTCTTCTTTTTATGAAATTTTGATTTATATAATATCTTCTATAGAAATTTACATTCGATAATCTCTCATTTAGAGAAATCATTCATTCAATTCAAATTCTTCTCGAAGTTTACTTTTCCATAACGATCACTTACACAAATTTCTTTATTTTTTATAACTTTTTAATATTTAGTATAAAATATTTTATATATCCGTGAACCATTAATAATATTTAAAAGAGCGCGCACATCTCATGAAATGATTTATAGCTCGCGTAATTCCCGGGATGTCGCGCGATATGCTGGTCCAGCCGACAGCAGGAGGAAGGAAGTCGATCCATTTCTCGCAGATGCGAACCCCGACACGGGTGCTCCCAACTGTATTCTAAAGATTCCGAAAAGATTTCTTAAGACCGCGACGGGAATAAAAGTTTTGCCGCCACCTGCCCCGCCGGCTATTCTTCTTTTCTACGCCTGCGATTCGGTACAGTGGTCTTTAGCCGATGTTGATTCCAGGATGCTATATATAACTCGCACTCTCTATTCTGCATCCTGGTTAATTGTCCATTCTCGCTCGATCATTAAGAGTGCCTTTACGGACCAGAAAAATATTCGATCTTGTCGAAATAATCGAAAGGGGGGGATAAAATATAACACGCGGAATTATTCGGGCATGAGCCTCAAATATTGTCTTCTTTTTATGAAATTTTGATTTATATAATATCTTCTATAGAAATTTACATTCGATAATCTCTCATTTAGAGAAATCATTCATTCAATTCAAATTCTTCTCGAAGTTTACTTTTCCATAACGATCACTTACACAAATTTCTTTATTTTTTATAACTTTTTAATATTTAGTATAAAATATTTTTTTTGAGCTTAACTAAATAAATTAATAAAAATGAAGTTATAAAATTTCATAAATTTTTGTCTGATTACGATATGGACATACTTACGGAGGATATTATGATATTCGAGAGGAAAAAGGAGATGACTATAATTGGAATGAGATATTAATTTATTCTCAAATGTAAATCTTATATATATAAATCTTATACTCGCAGATGCGAACCCCGACACGGGTGCTCCCAACTGTATTCTAAAGATTCCGAAAAGATTTCTTAAGACCGCGACGGGAATAAAAGTTTTGCCGCCACCTGCCCCGCCGGCTATTCTTCTTTTCTACGCCTGCGATTCGGTGGTCTTTAGCCGATGTTGATTCCAGGATGCTATATATAACTCGCACTCTCTATTCTGCATCCTGGTTAATTGTCCATTCTCGCTCGATCATTAAGAGGGCCTTTACGGACCAGAAAAATATTCGATCTTGTCGAAATAATCGAAAGGGGGGGATAAAATATAACACCCATATATTTTCTAATTAATAATTAACGATAAGATTAATAAAAAAAGATGATGGTTATCGATTCTATTGTTGGAGAAAGTTAAAGTCACATATATCATTGAACCTACTAAAAGTAATTTGTTTATTTTTGAACACAAAGTTGGATGGAAGAAACAAAATATAAAATATCAGTTTAAAGATTGAAATATGATTTTAATTATTTTTAGATTGTTTTAACGGTTATTCTTTTGCAAATTATAATCATTAAAATAATTTTCAGGAACATGTTCTCTAATTGTGATATGTATTCTCGGCTCTAGTAAATTAACTTGCATAAAACATGATAAATGTGATACTGATTGGTATTACAAGCTGCGGTTAATGAAAGCGTATCTTGCGTATTATTGCAGATTATCGCCGTATAATAACGCGCGAGAAAATTACGTTGTTATCCGTTGCATTCCGCTGCCGCTGAATAGACCCGCCGAACAATTCACGAGGATTTGTATTCGTTATCGATATTAAATATAAAACGGTGACCTGGCTCACACAAAGGCGGCTCCAATATATCCACAAATGCAATTACGCACGCCGTAATGCTCTTACGTTATAAATCGAAACGCGACAAGCACGCGATCCCAGACAAAACCATAGCCACGCGATGTCGATGTGTCTCTTCCTTTTTTTTCGGAATGTGTTTTGGCCAAGTTTTTGAATATCGTATTTTGCAACGGCTTTGATGCAATGTATGTATAACAGAGGTACACATATGGTAAAGTTGATGTTTTTAATTAAAAACTCACCTTCGCCGAGCGGACGCGAGGTAAATTGGAACTCTCGGCGGAAAAATATTCCCGAGATTATTCCCGGACCTCTGAACGCTGTCCGCGCTTTTCCGCGCGCTTTCCATCGCGTATGCAATGTGTGTCCAATGCGCGAATATATTTCATTAAATTTCCCGTTCTCAACCTTTAACGGCCCTTCGTGGTGTTGCCTCCATCGACTTTTGTTTCGATTCAAAAGCGCAAGAAATCGTGCGAATTATACGTTATAAGAAGTATTCGGACTTTCGATTGACTCTTTGATAAAATTTAAGACATATCCGAAAATGGAAAATACACACAATTGTACAGAGAGGTATTTTATTATATGTGTGTGATTCGTTTATATCTCTATGTGAGAAATGTGCGCACCGATTTATTAAACCAGAAAAAATATTTTATACTTTATAAAATTATAAATTTTGCAGTAGTAACAATAAAATATGAATACATATATATTTTTATACATCAAGCTTCCCCCTTAAATTTTTATTAAAAATAATGACCAAGCGTGGGAACATTTTGATATCTCGTTTCACAAAAATAATATTTATGAAAATGATAATTTTTTCACATATTCATATAAATATATTCATATAAATTATCTTGATATACATAAGTATTACATATTAAAATTTCAGCCATTCTTTTATAATGTTTCATTTGTGTGTACTAGGATATTTCTTTTTTTTTTAAGAAAACGAGTTTTAAAAAATGAATGTTAAAATGCAGATTCCAAATGACTTTTCAAATCTCGATTGAATTCTTATTACTAATTTCTCGTAAAAAAAAGATAATTGAACGGTGAAAAATAGCCTGCTTTGTCATACTTTGTGGCTAAAAGAGATCGATGTGCCGCGCGAATGTTTCTAAGTGACGTTTATCGACGTGCTGTTTTCCTCTCTGGAAGAGAGAGCCAGGACAAAGGGAACTAATCGATCTCACTTCCTGCCCGCGTGTCCCGCCATCCTTCATAAACGCTCTATCCAAGATTTTCCATAAGCATCAAGATATACAGGTTCTACACGCTAGTTGGAAAGTAGCTTGGCAAAATGATCGCTCATCATAATCGATTCCCATCGTCGAAATAACGACGGGCTATTCTGCTCCCGAAATTTCGCGAGTCACGCCGAATCGCGGCGATCTCTCTTCAACCTGTTAAATGCACGAGACTTATCGATCGCTGGATCCGCCTGCGAACTTCTGATATACGGGGTATCACGTATAATTCCTTTTCCTCCCTTC